CTTCCGGCCAAGCCTGAGGCAGGAGCCGCCTCTGTCTGCATCTCGTGGGGAGGGACTGGGAATTCCCCTGTCCCTGTGCCCCCTGCTGCTGGGGCCTCAGGTGGGACTCACTGTAGAAGAGAAAGGCTTAATTTTTACGGTTTCCTTAGGTTACTTCAGTGATAGATGTTCCAGAACTGTGTTTAATTTTCCACATCTGTTCGCTCACCAATTTACATTAGAAAGGTGACTCATGCCTCCCAACATGTTTTTATTTATTTTTTATTTTTTATTTTTTATTTTTTTCTCCCAACATGTTTTTAGAGCTGTTTCCCCAGTTTGTCAACTGGTGACCTTGTCCTATGCCAGCTGGAGATGCCACAGCAGAGCATGGGCCTGGTTGGGGAGGCCATGGCTGTTCTGTCCTTAACTCATGTGGGCAGCTCGCTTCCCCGGCTTTTGTCCTGTCCACATGTCCTGAGAGCCTCTGGCTCTGGCCATTGTTCTCCCTAAGTGATGTGCCGAGCATGGACTCCATGCTGGGCTGGGCTCCATGTCTGCCCGTGGGCCCAGACAATGTCCCCCATCCCGCAGGAGGCTGGGGTCCAGGGGAAGACCTGCTGGTGGTACCCCAGGGAGAGCCTGGATGACGGCCCCTCATCAGTGCCCTGGGCTTGCTGGTCCCTCAGCTAACAATCTGTGGTGTTACTGGGCAGGAGCAGAGGATGGGAAGCAGTAACTTGGATGGGAAAACGTAACTTGAATCCACATTAGTAAACTCGGAGTCAGCATTTCCTTCCCGACTGTTAAAATGTGACCCACCCACTGCTGTCGTTGATGGGGTTTGGCCTGTGCCAGGCCCACAGGGTGGCTGGACTGGGACGGGTGGGCTGGCTGCTGTGCCGTGGGAGGCTCCAGCCCTGGGGTCTGCTTGCGCCGGTGGGCGAGGCGCTGGCATGGCTGACCTGGCCCTGTAGAGCGGCGGGCTGGGGTGACCAGCAGGACCAGGGGCCTCCAGCCCGGGCCAGCCGCCTGTCCCGGGAGCCGCCCCTGTGCTGGCCTGACTCCTTCCTGGGTTGTTTTCAGGCAGTGGTCCTGTCTGCCCAGCTGTCGCCCGTGTTCCAGCCTGTTCTTCCCCAAGCTGCCAACGCAGGGAAGTTACCCTACTTTTCCTGTGTGAAGGAGGCTTCTTCAGTAAAATCAGAAATTTTCTGAACTGCCTGTTTTCAAGTGTTCTCATGTTTGAATTTCACGCTAAGCAGAGCGCTTGAGTCAGTGCCCTGGGCCGGGCCAGAGGCTGACTGCCCAATGGTGGGGCTTCTGCCCTTGAGCTGCGGGCAAAAGTCAGGCCTGGATGGAGGGCCACTCAGGGGAACTCCAGAGGCTTAGTTTTGTAGCTGCTGATAATTGCAGGCTGGAAATCATTCTTCAGTTCCTACAGAGAACACAGTGTCCCATTGCATTGCTGAGAACGCTCCTCCGTATTGCACTGTGGGGGACAGAAGCAGAGAAGGAAGACTGGGCATTTGGGGCTTTGCTCATTCCTGGTGCCAGTCACCCATTTCTCTGTGCATTCACGTGCTCCTTCCCTCACTCATCATCTGACAGACACTTGCGAGGCACCTGGTGTCCAGGCAGGAGGTACAGAGTTGACTTGCCCACAGTGCCTGCCCCAGGGTGAAGCCCAGGACGCTGGGCGAAAGGCTGGACTCGAGGTGTTTGTAGCAGCAAGAAGAGGGGCAGGCTGACGGCACAGGGAGTTTAGGGATCTCTCCAGGTGTTTGGCACGTGACTAGCTCTGCCCTGGAAGGGACAGGGAGGCCCAGGTGGAAGGCTGGAGTGTGAGCGACACCAGGTGCTTGGGTGTGGACGGGGTGTCGTCTGGCACCCGGTGCCACCGGCGGGTGATACCCGTGGGGCGTGTTGGGGGACTGAGGGCTGAGGACGAGATGCATTCTTAGCGTTCCAGTTTTCTCAAACTGTGGGCCATTTATGGGACGCTCATAACATCTTGAGTGGAACCTCTGGAGGTGTTAGGTGCTCCCGAGATGATGGGCCAGCGTCACAGGGACAGGTTGCCCCCTCCTGCCTGGGGGCTCTTGTCTTGCAAAGCTGTGTGTCTCAGTTCTGCCGGGGACTGCTGCCGGGAGGCCCCACCTAGCGCCATGCCTTCGACAGACTCCTGGCCTCTTTACGCTCCACTAGAGTAAGTGGGAACTTCTCTTTGGTAGTGAAATTAAGTTTAATAAAAAATAATTGTATTTAATAAAACATAAGTTGCTTAGAAGAACACGGTTAGATAGGCCACAGTGTGGCCCCACCTGTGGGTTGTACCCACTCTGCCCCGTGTGCAGAACTTCTGGAATGGGGACCCTGTGTGAGAGGCTGGAGTCCTGTTGTCCTCTGTCTCTCAGGGCCCCTGGGAGGGGTTCCCCGCACATCAGAATCTTCCGGGGAGCTGACTAAACACACATTCTCAGACCCCACCTGAAAGATTTTGATGGAGAAAGTCGAGATGAGCCTGAGAACCTGTGTTCCTAAGCCCTTGAGATGAGGGTGCTGCCAGCCCAGTGTGGGGACCACTGAGGTCAGCCCCCGTGGCGCCCTGTTGTCAGGCCGGCGTGCCCCTGAGCTGGCCTTGTGCTTCCCTGGGCCCTGAGCTCCTCGAGGGCCTCTCACCTGTGTTTACCCAGTGCCCCAGGACAGGGGGACGGGCCCTAGTCTGCGGGCCGGGGGCGCGGAAGATCAGCTCCAAGGGACCCAGCGCAAAGAAGACATTTTGTTGAAAACTTAGGTCTTATCCTAAAAATTAATGATGATGATTGACTTCGTAATGCTTATGTATTTGGTTTTACTATAAGAAGAGCTTCCAGATTTCTGAGGGTGATCTGTTCTTACTGCCTTCCATGACTCCTTTTGCTTCCAGCAGACTCCAGCCTTGATAGAACGTGGCTCCCTGTTCACGCTCCATTCCAGCCCCTGTGCACAGAAATGTTCTCCTCCTTAGGCTTTCACAGGGAGGACAAATGGGATTGGTAATGCGGAAAGTAAGAGTCTTCCTTCAAGCTTGCATGGGCTTGAGCCAGAACCCCTCAGTCAAGCAAAAACAAAACAAGCTCCCCTCCGCTGGCATGTGAATTACCCCTCTGGGGAGAGGGCCCCTGCCCGTAGGAGCTGAATACCCCGGGGGAACAGACCCCAGCCAGAGGAGCCCCCACTGCCAGGCCTTCCCTCTCTGCCTGCTTCCTGGCCTCAGCACCCTGGGCCCAGGCCTGCCCTATGCTGTACCCGGAGCCGTCGGTCCCTACATTTGTCCCTGAAGAGGAAGCACATGGTGGGCCTTGGGGTGTTTGGGGTCTTCCCACTGCCTCGTCCCACTAGCCTCCTCCCTGGCATCGCGCTCCCAGCTGGCTGCAGGGGCTCAGAGATGAGCCTGTGTGCTTCTTCTCAGCCCCGTGTCATTAGTCACTGTCTTGTTGTGATGGGTCTTACAGTGTGTTGCTGGGTCTGCCGCACCACGTGGCCCAGCTGTTCCCCCACCCCTGTCCTGCACGTGTCCTGCCCCGCCTGCCACGTCGAGGGTGCCCAGGCGTGTTTGTCACGCTCAGCCGCGGATAGTGGTGGCTTGGGGTGGGGTGTCGTAGAAGAGCCAGTGAAGGAACTGGCTCCAGTCGTGGGGACCAGAGCTGTCCGGAGCTTTTCTGTGGCCCGCCTTCCTCCTGTGGACGAGAGCACCCCACCAGGTGGACCGTAAGCCAGAGTGACTGGAAGGTGCAGCGGGTCTCAGAACAGGGTCCTCCCGCCCCTCGCACCCCCCTCCTCTGTGCTTGGTGGTCAGGAAAGCCTTGTCTCTGCAGTACTTCAGGTTACCGGGAACATGAGTAAAAGCAAACCAGTAAGCAACAAAACACTCATGCTTGTTTATTTGCTAGTTCTAAAACTTTCTTTGGGAGAGCTGGAAAACCTGTAAGCTTTTCTCAGGGTCACTTCTCAGGGCTGTCAGGGATGGTCACAGGGGAAGATAAGCCCCAGAGAGAAGGAACTTGCATGTAACTCAGGAACTCACAGAAAAGATGCGTGTGGAAAGAGTGCTTTTAGCAGCGCTTGGTGGACCCTGATTCAACACAGTCACATGGGAAGGTTCCGGTTCCAAGTCAGGACCCGTTCGGCAGTATTTGCTTGTCTTATGAAACAGCACGGAGTGGGTATTCATGGGGCAGAATGCTAGGAAGTAGCAGGGTCACCACGATCCCCAGAATCTTTGCTTCCTGCAGAGGTACCTCCAGGATTTATAGACTGGAGCTCATGGAGCTCTGGAGCCTGCCCCCCAGGTTGCTAAGCACCCAGCAGAGAGGTCTGGGGGCCGGGAACAGAGGGGACCTCAGCTGCGGAGCCCGTTGCAGCAGGATGTGGAGGAACCGCTCGTGGCCAGTGGGAGATGGAGCGCCAGGGAAATGATGGTTCTTCTGAGAGGTCAGCTCTCCTCTCTGGAGGCCAGCCCCAAGCCTGGAATCCAGAGGCACCCAGCCTAGGGCCCAGGGCCGTGTCCCACTCGCCCGCTCACTGGTCGGGTCCGGGAGCAGGTGGGGAATTGCCCCCTGATGAGCTTGAGGTCGTTTTGGGAGCCGGTGAGCTCGCCCTCTCTCTGTCCAAGCCCCTCCTGGGACTGCAGCCCGTGCCTGGTGGACTTGCCCGGGGCGGGAGAGCGCTCACTGCATGTCCCGGAGCATCCGCTGGCCTCACAGACCAATTTCTCACCCGAGAGGCGGGAGTGGTCCTGCCCCTTACCAGGGGTGGGCCGCACACATGACCCGAGGAGCCACCCTCGCCACTGTTCCCGTCACGGCCACCGCTGCCGCTCCCTTTCCAGAGGAAGAGTCGATCTGAACTCTTTTAATGGAGGTGACTTCTTCGCTCCCTGGGGACTTTGCTTGGGCATCTGGTGGTTGGAGTGGGTGGTTCCCGGCGGAACCCCAGGGGCTCTCCCTCACAGCCTTGGGGCCTGTGTTTGTCTCGCGCAGAGCAAGTCCACCGGCACCTGGACCAGCACGAGGTGAGGTACCTGCAGTTCGCCTTCCGCTGGATGAACAACCTGCTGATGCGGGAAGTGCCCCTGCACTGCACCATCCGCCTGTGGGACACCTACCAGGTGAGCTGTCCCCGCGGCCCCCGCGGCCTCCTGCCGAGCCCGGCCCGGGCCCGCTGGCTTTCTGCCCACACGGCGGCCACCCAGGGAAGGGTCTTTTCTGGTGTTCTTGTCAGCTGAGTAGAAGTAACACCGGGAAGAAGAACTTCCTGTCGTTCTGTTTGTAGCTGAACTTCGTTCCGACTGCGTGGTGCCAGCATCCCCGGGGCTCACGGACAATTTACATTTCGTCGGGGTCCTAGGGGCGCGGTGGGGGATGCTTGGAACTCGGCACACGTCTGCGCCGCAGCTGCCAGAAGCATTCACACTCCGGACTCACACGTTGTCTGTTTTGAGTTACTTATAATAAAGATTTTTTTAAAAAATCACTGACAAATTCAGTGCAATATGAAATTTTCTCCTCTCCACCGATTTTGATGAAATTCATTTCTTCTGGAGATTGAGTTTTCTGGAACAAACCACCTTTGTTCCCCCGAGTGTCCCATTTTGCTTATTCTAGCACCTTTTCATTTTGCTGGAAATGTTTGCTGAAGCTGAGGCCGCGCCGCGGGGCTTACATGCCCGCTTTTCATCATCCCTCGCAGATAGCGGGAGCCTTACGTGGGACGGAGAGTGGAGGCCTGCGGAGGCTGCTTTCTGCACTCCGAGAGGCAGGGTTTTTGCCTTTGCGGGCTCTGGACTGGCGGTGTGGGAGCCCTGCACGTGGACGTGCACGGCCCCTGCGCCCGCCGTTGTCTGACTCTGAGCTTGTGGTCACGGGAGTCAGCTAGAGCAGCAACCCGAGGTTCTGTTCCTGACGGTGGTCCTTGTGTCCCACGTGGGCTCGGGGGTGTTTGTGGTTCTGAATCCCCGTGCTTTGACTTTGCTTTCCGTTTTTGCGGCTTGCTTATTCTAATAATATTCACTACAGAAATTATGACGACTCAGTTGCTTCCATCCAGATCCCCCACTTTGGTTTTGCTTTTCTAAGGACTTGGCAATTACGGAATTTTGGCCACTGACATTTGCTGGGACATAAAGCCTTCCCTGGGCTGTTTGGTGAAAGTGGCCGTCAGCCTGGTGCTATTAACTGGGTCTCGGTAGCGATGTAGGAAACAAACTTAATATCCCGTGACGTGGGAATGCTCTCCGTTTGTGATCGGTTAGGCTGCCGAAGACCCTGGCCCCCTCATTAAACACACAGTTCCTTGTAATGCTCTCCCCATTACAGATAAATTAGGTATGAAGTCCCTCGCGTTGTGAGGAGCCAGACAATGGATCTGTGTGCTCACGGCCCTGCACCACTTCGCTAAAACTCCTAAGAGGTATTAAAACTTTAAGCACAGTAGTGGCATCTTTATTGCGTTAATTTTCCTGAAATTAAATTTTGTCATGAATTGACTCATTTGTACCACGGACTCATTCTTGAACTGACAGTACCCTGGTCATAAACCTTTTCGTATCCTAAAAGTTGGGGGTATTTCTATTTTACAGGCCCAAGTAACCATGAAATTGTATTACATCTCTTGGCAATGAAAATACGCAGTAATCACAGGATGGCATGCGGGTGATTACTCTCCCCTAAACTGGGATGTTTACCAGCTGGGCCATTACAGGTGTTTCCGAAGCTCTTTAACCCCTTGGACGTAGCTTGAAGGCCTCTGGGGGCACGTGCCCACCAAGGGTTTTGGGGAGCAGGTACTCCGGCCCCGGCTCCCAACTAGGTCGTGGCATGAAGATGAATGAGGTGCATCATCACAGGCGTGACAACAGACATTTAAGAAGCACAGACGATCCAGCAGGAGCCCGTGCTTCAGGGAGATGGCCCCTGCTCCCGGGGCATGTTGCACATTCGTTCTAAGTGGGACAGCTGGGGTGGGCGGTGCGGCTCCTGGGGAGCCTCGGCCATGCGAACTGGTGCCAGGCCTCCAGGACTCGGCCACCAGCTTTGCGCTTGGCTCCCCGTCCCTGGGCTGTAGGGTGCATCCTGCCCTGCACCCATCGCACGGATGCACATTACCTCCAGCAGGGGAGACCCCTGGGCTTGTTCTCTGCCCTCACTGTGGTCCCAGCACAGAGGTGCTGCTGGCTCCCTCTGTCCTCTCCTCCCGGTGGCGTGACAGTGGAGGGGGACAGCAGCATGCCGGCCCTCGGCCTCCAGCTGAGCAGAAGTTCCTTCCCTGAGTGCACCTCCATCCCAGTGGGACAGACGCAGGAGTGTAGAGAAATGAGCTCCTGGGAAATGCAAGGCTCCCATTAGGTCGGGGTGTTGCTGTGGAGAAAACAGTGAGGAGCAGGGAGCCGGGTATGAGGCAGAGTGAGGGGAAGTCGCGCGCTCAGATTGTCCTGCCAGACGGAGAGGAAGAGCCCAGATCCCACAGGGGGCTCGACCTGCAGTCCTCCTGGTGCCGGGGGAGCTGAGGCAGTGACGTGCAGAGCATGACCTGGGCATCGGGAGCTGCCATAATCCCTTGGGGATCACGTCCCGTGGGCCTGGGGACGGCTGTTTTGTCGAGGTCTGAGCTGGGACCTGAGTGGGGGGTGGAGAGAGCCCCGTGAACATCCAGGGAGAGAAGGTTTGGGACAGAGGGCGCGGTACCTCAAGAGTAAGCCCTGTCCCCTGCTCCTCGGGCCCCTCCTTGCAGCAGCAGAATCCTGGGGAGGGCACAGAAGTCGTTGTCTGCCCCCCCCCCCACCATTTCCCGTGGTTGCTCTTTAGTCCGGAGGCCTGTGGAAGCCCCTCATCTGGCAGGTCCTGGGACAGAAGCTGCCGTTGTGTCTGAGCCTGGCTGCTTGACCTCCCGAGATTATGGGAGAGGATGTGCCTTGTGCCCTGTTGACGAGGGGTTCCTAACCCTCGAGACGTGGTCTGGGGTGAGCTCTGCCTCCCTGTGATGGGGTGTCCACCAGAAGGGACCTTGCCGGGGAGGAGACGGGCCCCGAGGGGTTGGCAAACAGGTTTCCCCAAGGGCACAGACTGAGGCCAAGTTTCTGGATTGTAATTCCTTTGTGGTAAATGGCATTAGAACGTCATTCAGCTCGGGATTGCTTTAGCTACTCGGGGTCTTTGGTGCTTCCATGTGAATTTTAGGTTTGCTTTTCTATTTCTGTGAAAAATGTCATTGGAATTTTGATGGGGATTGCGCTGAGTCTGCAGGTGGCTTTGGGTAATGTGGGCCTTTTGCACTATTAATTCATCCGGTCCATGAGCACAGGACATCTTTCCGTTTGTTTGCCTCATCCTCGGTTCTGTTCATCAGTGCTTCAGTTTCCAGCATGCAGGCCTGTCACCTCCGTGGTTGGATTTACTAAGTGTTTTATTCTTTTCGAGGCACTTGTCCATGGGATAGTTCCCTATAGTTCACTCTTAGGATAGAAAAATGCAAGTGATTTTTGTGTGTTGATGTTTAACTTGCAAATTTACTGAATTTGTTTATTCCAAGGAAATGAGATCAGTATCCCAAGAGGCACATGCACCCCCATGTTCATTGCAGCATTATTCACGATGGCCAGGACATGGGAGTGACCCAGTGTGGGTGTGTAAGCATATGCAGGTGCAGGGGGAACTGGCCAGGGTGCGAGGGGCAGGGAGGGGAGGAGAGGAAGCCCTGGCATGCACGGAGCCAGTGGGAGGGACTCTGGAGCAGCACGTGCAGTAGAAGGTTCTAGGGTGATGGAAGTGCCCGTGGGGTAGCCTGTGGTCATAGTGGCTTATTCGACGTTGAAAAATGTGATTGAGGACCTGAAGTTTTTTTTTAAGATTTTATTTATTTATTTGATAGAGAGAGTGAGAGAGCACAAGCAGGGGGAACAGTAGAGGGAGAGGGAGAAGCAGGCTCCCCGCCAAGCAGGGAGCTCGATGCGGGGCTCGATCCCAGGGCCCTGGGATCATGACCTGAGCCGAAGGCAGACGCTTAACCATCTGAGCCACCCAGGCGCCCCGAGGGCCTGAAGTTTTAATTTTAATTTATTTAAATTTAAATTGAATAGGTCCACACAGTGAGTGGCTGCCTTATGTGGAATGCAGCTCTGGGAAGGCAGGGGTAGGGTCAGTGGGTCATGGTGGGGAGCGGGCAGCTCTGCTTGGAAGGCCCATGTACACTGGGGCACAGTGCCCTGGCCGTTGATGGCTGTAGACAGGTGCACTTTGGGTGGGGTGGGCTGACCTCAGCTTGCGTTGAGGTGACCCCCATCTTCTGAGTAGTGTGTCTGTGAAGGGGAGAGGGAAGGGGATGGAGTGGGAAGGGGACGGAGGGCTGGTTGCTGGTTGTACAGTGGGCAGTTCTGAGAATTTCCAAGCTCATGGAGTTGCCATTGGTGTAGTGGGGAAAGCTCTCTGGGTGGTGGGGACGTTGCCGCGGGCTGGGGTCCCTTCCTCCCCAGGGTCCTGCGAGGCTGATTCAGAAGTGAGTGTGCCGCCGGGGCGTATCCTGAAGTGAACACCACTACAGCTTTCTGAAGGGAAATGGAAGAGCTGGGTCCCTAGGGAAAAGTCAGGGCTCTGCCTGGTGCTTGGGGAGTGAGCTGCTGTGGAGCTGGCCCTTGGGTGGGGGCTGTGTTCTGGTGAATGCCACCTTCCCCCGCCTTGTCCAGCACCGCCCAGTCTCGTGGACGTGTGTGGGGTCCCGCGTGTGGGGCTCCGCGTATGGGCCTCTACGAAGGGCTCCTGTCCTCCATCCTGAGGCTAGGGACGGCTTTGGTAAATGGGGGTGGTGCCGACGGAGCCCTTGGAGGCCCTACGCTTCCTACAACCTGGTGATTTTGTTTTAAGAAAAGGAAAAATTTCCTGCAGCCAGGTGAGTATTGTAAGATGACTTCATTTGGCTTAATGCATTTATTAAATTCCTTCCTCGTGTTATCCAAAGGCCACCTGAATTCTAATGAGGACACCTCCACTCTCCATACCCCAAAGAGCGTCTTCAGTCACACTCTCCATGGGCCTGGCAGTAAATCACGGGAGATAGACTGCTGAGCTCACCTTTGGATCTGGTCGTTTGCACACCGTCTGTCTGAGGTCGTGACCTCCTGAGGCAGGGCC